CAGATTTTTGCCCAAATGGCTAGAAACTCTATAAGGAGTCTCTTTGGTACCCACCATCCTCTTGAAGTAGATTGGAGCTGCCAGGAGCATATGTGTCTCACTGTCATGAAATCTTAAACTCTTAAACATTTTAAATGTCATATTTTGAAGGTCACTGAAAGATTTAAAGATATCCTATCTGACATATATCTCTACACATCTAGAAAATCTAACTAACATGACTACAAGCTTGACTATTATAGATGACTATCTATTGACCTCTATTTCTTAATTATACAATATATTTTAAATGAGCTGTACAAACACAATACCTTAATCAAGAGCAGAAATATACATAACTAAATTGACCTTAAATTTATTGTATCAATAAACCAAGATACATATAAAGGCAAATCCTATATCATATCCAACATTAAATGTAAACAAACATTTATAAACAATTTTTGGGAATTTAGGCATAGTTCTTTCCAAACTGCTTCCTATTTTTTATTGGGCAATGTAATTTTTGGGTGTGTTCATGGTGACCTTTCTTGGGGTCTTGGTGCTTCAAATGACATTAGTTTGGAAAGATTCCACAAGTACTCATCCTCTGTGGAAACAAAAGAAGAACCTCTTTTCTTAAACAACATAACCTTAGTCCCAAATTTTGAAGACAAGATACCTTTAAAGTATAAATGTTGATTACTTAGCTCCTTCACAGCCAAAAAATTTAAAGAAGACACAATAATATACATAATTCAGACTCTCTGTGTATATTCCATCTTTATGTGGCTTATTTTTCTTAATCTATTACTTTTTCTACAAGTTTATTAATTATTTTGTTATCTTTACTCTTTTAGTCTATGGCTATCTTACTCTGTCTCATTAAAGACTTTGCTTGTTTTAATGATTTAAATTTTGTTATAAGTCTCTATACTCTTTCTTCTTTCTCCCAAGCCTATATACATTTATCTAATATGTGACCCATTTAGGCGTTGTTTCCACCTGAATTTGTGTTTATTGTGTATCTGTAATCCTTTTATGACCAGGATTGTATCTTAAAATGCTAAATACTTCTTAGGTCAATAAAGACCCTGCCTACTTGTTCCCCCAGGCAAACATGGTGAGGTGGAGGTCTATTTAGTGTGATTCATGCTCACAGCCACATTTTTAGGCACACAGGGGGTCTATGCTGCCATTAAGCAAGTTGTAGCACTCTGCTCACAAACTTCATTTAAATGCTCTGTCTCTTGAAAGAGCCAGCATTTGTGCTGGTTGCATGGACCAGGAAGTTGGCATTTCAGAATGTGTTTTTTTTTTTTTTTCTGCTATGGCTGAATCAGGAGATCCTCTCTTAAAGGAGCCATGGAGTTAAGCCGTGCTTAGCTCTTTTTTTTTATGCCTAGACTTTCTTTCCAAACTCTCTTAAGTTTTAAGTGGATTTTAGCTGGCCATGTTGGTACCAATTTATAATTGGAGGCCACTTGTTTGTTCCAGGCTGCTCAGACCTGAAATAACCACACAAAACTGCATTAATTAAATCATTGCTTGGCCCATTAGCTCTAGCTTCTTATTGACTAACTCTTACATGTTACTTTAATCTGTGTATTGCCATGAGACTGTGGCTTACCCGGTAAAGTTTCAGTGTCTGTCTCCAGCAGGGCTTACATAGCTTCTCTCTGACTCTGCCTTCTTTCTCCTAACATTCAAGTTAATTTCCCTGCCTAGCTCTCCTCTGCCCTATCAACAGGCCAAGGCAGTTTCTTTATTCATTAACCAATAAAAGCAACACATAGACAGAAGGACCTCCCATACCATTTCCCCTTGTCTGTTTACTGAGAAGGCCTAAGACAATTTCATTAACCAGTGATATTCACAGCATACAGAGGGGAATCCCACATCAGATGATATCCATTTTTATTGAAGTGAAATAGATCTCAAATCATTTAATTTACAAATCTCTGATGGGTAAGGATTTGTGCACTTTTAAAATATTTATTATCCATTGAGTTTTGTTTCTATTTTCATTCCTTCTCTCTTTTCCTCTCTCCCTCCCTCTTTCTTCTTTCTTTCTTTCTTTCTTTCTTCTTTCTTTCTTTCTTTCTTTTTTTCTTTCTTTCTTCCTTTCTATGTACTTCTTCTATGAGAACTCTCTGTTCATTTTCATAGCCTATTATATCATTTGCTTTCTGGATATTTTCAGGTTTTCCTATATTCTGGCTATTATTCCCTGTCAAGGGTGTAGCCGGTAAGGATTTCTCCCACACATGTATCCAAAGGACTCTGTCTCCTATTACAGAGATACTTGCCCATCTGTGTTCATTGCTGTCCTAGCCATAGTAGAGCAAATGGAAATAGCCCCATGTCAGTGTTAGATGGTGTTGGTGATGAATGTAATGACAATAACTCACTATAATAAATCCATTTCAGGAAGATAGAGGCCAGCACACGAATATAGACAAATAAGCTTATAAAAGTTCTTTAGTTTTGGCTGTTGACCAAGAGTGGGCTCATGCCTCAAAGTCTCCTGGTGCAGAAGGTCAGAGGAACAGCATTTTAAAGGCAAAAAATACAATTTCATTGAAGCTGAATGAGGAACAGTTTAACCATGTATTATTTGTTTTGACAGAACATATTTATTTCAGAAACAACATGGCAACTAATTTTGACTTACACCTAATTCAGTTATTTTAGTTAAGTTCATATATTGATAATTATTTTGGTTAATACATTTGGACTGCTGAAGTCATAAGAATTTGACCTGTGTTTTCAGAGCAGACATCACCGTTGAGTGTGGTGTAGAGGGCTGAGAAGTGTCTGAGCTGACTGAAAGAAACCGTTGCCTTTGTTACTTTAGAACATGTATATGATAGAATTTTATTCAGTTGTAAAGAAAATGAAATTTGTTGGAAAATGGATGGAAGTGGAAGACATTAAGTTGAGTGAGGTAACCCAGACCCGAGAAAACAAATTTCACTCATAAATGTTGGTCCTACCTTGAAATTTTTAGATTCTGCGCTTAACTTGGATTCCTGTAGAGGCCAGAAAGTGTGAAAAGGGCCACTGCTAGGGCGGGTACTAAAATGTGTGTTATATGCAAAGAGAGAGTGAACTCTGGGCTAAGAAGGATGATGGGATAAGGGAGGAGAAAGGAGGTGAGAGGTGGATAGAAGTGCATATGAAACTAGATAGGTGTGAAAAAGCCATTTGGAAACCTACAATTTTGTAAACAAAATCACCAAAATAATGTAAAAAATGAGTTTGAAGGGCAGTTCTCTGTGGGAGTGGATAACGCTGCTCCCAGAGTCTGGGTTCTTCAATAAAATTCTGACATGGATGTGGGACACCTCCTTGTGAGTTGTTGGTCGAAGTCCTGTGGTTCTGCCTTTCCTCTGTGTCTCACTGCATCTCTCTCCTTCCCCTTCTTTCCCCCACCTCTGTCCTTTCCCATTCTTCCCCTCTCTTCTCTTTACTTTCTGCTCTTTTTTTTCAAGGTAGAGAGCAGAGACAGTTTCACTTTGTAGCTCAGGCTATCCAGCAACCTTGGGCCTCAGACTGAGTCCTGAGATTATAGGTGTGTGCTCCTATTCCTCTTTCTGCAGTACTGTAAATGTTCAGAAAAAATGAGTTTCACGAATACAAATGTGTCACATTGTAAATATACATCAAACTGCCTGGTCAGATTTTCTATAATTTTGCATGTATGTACATGTATGGCTGTACATGGGTGTGCATACCTGTGGCGGTCAACACTAGTGTTATCCGCACTCTCACACTGAACCTGAGGAATGAACCAGGACCTTCTGATTATCTAGAATAGCTGGTCCACAAGCCCCAGGGATCCCCTGCCTCCCCCTCCCACTATCAGCTTTTTACCTGGTGCTGGATCTGAACTCAAGTCCTCATGCTTACAGACACAGGCCACTGCTCAGCATGCACTTTCTCTGTATAAAAGTAAAAGTCATCAAACACTTGTGTAATTATTATTTTTTGAGAATTTCATACATATGATGTATTTTAATCATATTGAGCCTCATTCACCCTACACTGCTACTTTACAACAGAATTCCCCCCCAATGCCTCCTACCAACAACTTCTTCCCCATCCTCCCTTCCCCTCCCTCCTTTCTTCCCTCCCCCCTCCCCTTTTAAAATAACCCACTGAGTCCAGTCAGTGCTGCCCATGAAGACATATGATTAGACCATTTCTCTGGATAGTAGACATACCAAGGACGTACTCCTGAAGAGAACCGAATTTCCCTCTCTTGCATCAGCCATCACCTGTCTGCAGCTCCTCAGCTGAAGGGAGAGGGCTCGTGTGACCCTCCTCATTCAGTCTAGAATGTTGAAAAAGAGTATTAGTGTATGAAATTAATATTTTTCAACATTAACTTTCTGGTCTGTGCAGTGTAGGACACTGCACACTGCACCATCTGATGCAGGCTAACAGTCCGCACTTAGTGCCCCTCCCTGCCCCTTCTTGTTCTTTAATGACAGAGTTCAATATTTAGCCCAGGTGCCCAAACCCTAAATCATCCTACCTCAGCCTCTTGGTCACAGGGATTAGAATCGTGAATGGTGAATTATTTCTCAATTGGTTTTTCAGATATAAAGTGAAGCTATAAATCAATTTATATTGACAACCTGGGTATTTAACAAGCCACACCCTTGGCTGTCCTGACCCCCTTGTGTGTCCCTTTCTGTGTTAAGCATATTCCCTCCTGTTTATGACCTAATGCCAATCTATTAAAAAAAGAAAGAAAACAGACAGACAGACAGACATCTTTGCTTTGCTTTCCTCTTTTCTCTTCTTGAGGACTGGCTCTCCAAAATTCAGCTGTTGTGTGTCTGAGCTAGGGCTCAGTGCAGACTGACCAGATCTCTTTTTGTTGCCTGACCAGGACAACCTAGTACAAGAGAATACGGATGGACCACAAGGTGGCGCTAGCGCCACTCCTCTCTTCTGGGTCCGCCCAGGCTCACCTTCCTTCCCTGAAGTTCATGATTCATGCAGAGGCTGAGGACAAGCTGAGCAGCAGCCTGGGTTTCTCTTCTTCTCCTGCATCTGACAGCAGTGAGTATGGGCAACAGGAATGACTTTCTTATAGTATAATTAGCATCACACACCTCACGAACTTACAGAGCACAGATGTGTGGCTATGGGAATATTCAGAGGTGTGCAAACATATCTCCATAATGTACTCTGCTTATTTAATCCGGAGATGCCTTCCCACAAGTTCTCTAGGTATTTTCAGTGTGTGTGTGTGTGTGTGTGTGTGTGTGTGTGTGTGTGTAGGGGCTGCAGGGTGGGGCTAGGGCACTGTTCAATGTGTGTGGAGATTACAGGATAACTTTTGAGAGTCAGTTCTTTTCTTCCAGCTTGTTGAGGAGATCTCTCCTGTACTTTGTTCCATGCTGGGAACTCCAGGGTAGCTGGCCCTTCAGCTTCCAGGAGACCTCCTTTGTTGGGATTACAAAGGCATGCCCCTGTAGTCCCCTTTCCATGGCATTCTTGGATTGAACTCAGATGGCTAATCTTATGCAGCTGGTACATTTACCTGCAGACACCTCTTGCTGGACCCTGGGTGGTTTTCAGAACCCTTTTCTTGGTATGAGTTCAGAGGATCAAATCCAGAGCCTTTCACATGCTAGGCAAGTGTTCTGCCAGCCTGGTGCGATTTTACATATAAAAGCATTTCATCCACAAAGGAGGCAATTTGACTTCTTCCTTTCCTGATTGTATCACTCTTTCTCTTCTCTCATCTTATTTTTCTGAGGATCCAAGCTCTTCACTAAACAATAGTTGAGGGATGGTTGCTCCTGGCTCTATCCTGTATTTAGAGGAACTGATTTAAGTTATTCGCTATTCAGTATGTTGTTCTTAATTCCTGCGGGTTAGACGAGGGTTATGCTAGAAAAGACACAGACACGAGGCGATACCACGTGGTACACTTTTTAATGGGAGGGGAAAACACACTAGGAAAAGTGAAAGGAAGGGACAACGGGAAGGGACAAGAAGGGGCGAACTTGTGGCTTGTCCTTGCTTTTAACAGAGGGTGCAAAGGCTTCTGGGAAATGTGTCCCGCGCTTGCATGCCCTGGAGTCCAGTGGGATGCTGGCAGTTGTAGTGTTGCAAGGGAACAACATTTCACCCTTTTGGTTTGATTAAAAAAAATTGGGGGACCTTAAAGGGTAGGGAATGGGGGCGTAGTCCAGTCTCTCATGGCTGCTTCCTGCTGACTTTGGGCATTGAGGGGTCCAGGGAATGTCCGATTATCTTGGCAATGTCCCATTGGCGTTTGCGGTCACTGGTGTAGTTGGTCACTGATGTCCATGTCCAGGGTTGCTGGCTGGTGTAGTCGGTCACTGGTGTTTGAAGTCCTGGCTGTCGTCTGAGGCGGCTGATTGAAGAAATCTGTGTGGCTTTTCCTGAGTAGCTGGGTCATCATTAAGATGCTGGAAGGCAAATTCCTGTGGGTTAGACAACGGTTACGCTAGAAAAGACACAGACACGCGGCGGTACCACATGGTACACTTTTAATGGGAGGGGAAAACACACTAGGAAAAGTGAAAGGAAGGGACAAGAAGGGAAGGGAAGGGGCGAACTCGTGGCTTGTCCTTGCTTTTAACAGAGGATGCAAAGGCTTCTGGGAAATGTGTCCCGCGCTTGCGTGCGCTGGAGTCCAGAGGGATGCTGGGAGTTGTAGTGTTGCAAGGGAACAACATTTCACCCTTTTGGTTTGATTAAAAAAAACTGGGGGAACCTTAAAGGGTAGGGAATGGGGGCGTAGTCCAGTCTCTCATGGCTGCTTCCTGCTGGCTTTGGGCATTGAGGGGTCCAGGGAATGTCCGATTATTTTGGCAATGTCCCATTGGCGTTTGTGGTCGCTGGTGTAGTTGGTCACTGATGTCCAGGGTTGCTGGCTGGTGTAGTTGGTCACTGATGTCCAGGGTTGCTGGCTGGTGTAGTTGGTCACTGATGTCCAGGGTTGCTGGCTGGTGTAGTTGGTCAATGATGTCCAGGGTTGCTGGCTGGTGTAGTTGGTCACTGATGTTTGAAGTCCTGGCTGTCGTCTGAGGCGGCTGATTGAAGAAATCTGTGTGGCTTTTCCTGAGTAGCTGGGTCATCATTAAGATGCTGGAAGGCAAAAGTTGCATTAGTAAAAGAAAAAAAATTAAAAGAAGGGGGGAATTTTTGGAGAGCTGGGGTGAAGAGGGGGGGGGAGAGGGTCTTAGGATGTCCGGGGTTAAGAAATGATAAAAAAAATTAAGTGATACTTATTCCTTTGTGTTTGATCCGTTGGGCTGGCATCCCGGAGCTTAAGGAAACTGTCTTAAAAGAAATAGATTCTAACCATACATCTCTTAACATTTCAGGGGCCACTGCTGCAGTCAGCGGCTGTCCTGTTACGTAAAAGAGCTTTGTAGAGGAGAATCTGCTTACCACTTGCCTTCGTATTTGATGGGGGTACCTGTAACGACAGCTAGACGGTTATTTATGAATTTAAAGAAGGGAGGGTGTGTTAACACAGCGACAGATCGGGACCATTGTTGTGCTTAGACTGTAGTAGGGGGAACTGAATCCGGCGTCCTTTGGAACCTAAGAGAACAGGGTCCGGTTTGGGTCACCGTGTATGAAGGATTATCTTGAGCTGTGGAGACAAACGGTTAAGTGAATATCTGGTCCTGGGATCTGACTTTTGGCAGATCTGACAGGAGGCTGCTGTAGCTTTTAGGAGCCTGATATCCTTAGGTGTAACAAAGGGAGAGTGGTGGTTAGTGACAGCGGGAGCCTAGAGGGGCCTTGGAAGATCGAGGGGGAGGCATAGGACAGGGAGGAGACGCTCCAAGCTGCCTGTGTGGCCTGTGGCGGAGAGGAGACAGGGAAGAATCGGAAGACACGCACGACCTGTTGCGGGAGAAGTGGGGCGAGGCTGGCCCGGAGAAGGAACGGTAATGGGTGAGCTGTCGCTGTCGCTCAACTGGGCGGAGCGAGAGCGAGTGGCCCCCCCGAGGCGCGGTGGGGGGGTGTGGAGGCAGGGGGGTTGAGGTTTGTCCGCGGGATCCATAGCGGCAGCGGGAGCAGAGGGTCCCCGGAGGGATGGCATTGCACCAGCCTTCCAGATGTGGGGGTTGGTTACAGAGCCCACGACTGAAATGAAGTCTGTCCGCAAAAGGTACCTGGCCCGAACCCGGCTACCATACGGGGGGAGGAAAAGCCCCGGCCCAGGCTGGGAGGAGACAATTACCGCGAACACGGCAAGCCAAGAGCGCTGGTGTTCCGGACGTTCTTGGGGCGTGCTAACTCTTTAGGGCCTGCTTATGGCCCGAAGGGGACAGGAAAAAGTTAGAAAAAAAGGAAGAAAAAAGAGAAAAAGCCCGGAGCACCGAACTCCGGGTGCGCGGACTGAGCGTTTCGGCCGAGGGCAAAAAACCGGGGAAGGCGGGTTAGCAACCTAGCCCTAGCCCAAGGTGTGCAAAGAAAGCCGGCCGGACAGTCTTTGAATGCCCCAGGGGGAAGGAAGTGAACCCGGGGTAACTCACGGATCAGGATGAAGTGGTGGAAATGGCCGTGGGAACAGGTGGTGGTGAGCGAAGGCAGGCTGTTGGTTCTCTAGACCTTGTCGGTGAAACCCAGAGGCAAAGCCTCGGGCACCGGACGGAGAGGTCTCCGGGTCGATGCGGCACCAAATGTTGTTCTTAATTCCTGCGGGTTAGTCGAGGGTTACACTAGAAAAGACACAGACACGCGGCGGTACCACGTGGTACACTTTTTAATGGGAGGGGAAAACACACTAGGAAAAGTGAAAGGAAGGGACAAAGGGAAGGGACAAGAAGGGGCGAACTTGTGGCTTGTCCTTGCTTTTAACAGAGGATGCAAAGGCTTCTGGGAAATGTGTCCCGCGCTTGCATGCGCTGGAGTCCAGAGGGATGCTGGGAGTTGTAGTGTTGCAAGGGAACAACACAGTATATTTGTTTAATAGGATTATCACAGTGTTCTTTATTGTGTGCAGGAATGAGTTTTACAAAGACTTCCTTTGTCTATTGAGATTATGATATCATACTTATCCATGATCAAGTTATGTGTTGAAGTTCTTTTACTAATTTGCATATGCTGGACCATGCTTGCAAAAACACAGTGTTCTTTCACCATGTGTTTCTGTGCTTTCTATTACTGTTGACTTTTTCTACAATTCCATTATGATTTGATAGGATATAAGAAATTACCTTTTGGATTTGTTAAAAGTTTGTGATGGCCAGACGAACAGAGGCGGAGCGGCGGCGGCCAGATGCACAGAGGCGGAGCGGCGGCGGCCAGACGCACAGAGGCGGAGCGGCGGCAGCCAGACGCACAGAGGCGGAGCGGCGGCGGCCAGACGCACAGAGGCGGAGCGGAGGCGGCCAGATGAACAGAGGCGGAGCGGCGGCCAGACGCACAGAGGCGGAGCGGAGGCGGCCAGACGCGGCGGAGCAACACCGCATACAGGAAGAGGCTTTCGGGGACCGGCGCAGAGGCAGACCCAAGCGGTGGGAACAGCCGTGCAATAAGGAGAGCAGATCGCCCTACTACAATCGAATCAAAGAGGTAGGCCTTTGGTTGGCCAGGTCACTGGCACAAGGGGAGCCTGGTCCTGTCCTGAAGATCCTTCAGAGGGGTGAGAGGGTTCTTGGCCTGCAGCAGGAACCACGAAAGAGAGTGAGGGCATTTTGTAAGCGGAGCCCTTGGCCAGCAGGGAAACCTGATCCGGTTTTTAAAGGACCCATTGGATAGGATCAATAGGAGGAGATGGGCAGGCGCCAAGGCAAGAATTCTCCCAATAATCCGAAAAACAACATGAAAACATCAGAACCCAATGATCTTACAACAGAAGTATTTGAACAACCTAACACAGAAGAAATGGAAAAAATCGACTTTATGAAGATAATAGAGTCCCTTAAACAACATGTAAAAAATGCCCTTATAGAAATGGATGAGAAGTATAACAAAAAGTTTGAAGAAATGAGTAAATACGTACATGATACCCTGGGAAACCAAGAAAAAACCATCAAACAGGTAATGGAAACAGTTCAAGA